ACAGACCGGGATAAAACAGAACAATGAGCATTAGCCACCAGTTATCGCAAAGGATGACAAATTACGATGGTTTCAGCCACGGACCATCTATCAATAACAAGTATCTGAGCTGAATGGGAAAGCACTGGCAACGATATGGGCATTTCCTCATATATTTAATTCAGTTTGAAAAATACATTTGTTCGCAGGGTTCACAACTCAGGCTTCTAAGTACTTGGCAAAACAAACTGACACTCTGTTTTCTTCAATAAAGACAACATTATATCTAAGTCCACTGAGAGAAATTGAACTTATCCAAAACTGCAGCCACGAGCCAGAACCTTGTACTTATATTTAACAGTCGTACAAAAGTGAAAGAATACAAAAGAACTATATGAATATGAACACAAAAATGACTCTTGTTGCCATGTTAGAATGTTGTTACCTCACCCAAAACATACCTGGAGTTGTGATTTGTTTCATTCACACATGTTGCATCGTTTGTTATTACTCTGTCTACATCTTCAAAGTTCAAAATGAAGTGCACACTCCCCCCTCCCATACGCATCTCTAAACCAGAACTGAACTAGGATTAAACCAGGTCTAAATCAGGTCTAAACCAGAACTAAACCAGAAAGAAACCAGGACTGAACCAGGACTAAACCAGGACTGAACCAGGACTAAAACTAGAACTTAAAACCAGAACTTAAAACCGGTACTAAACCAAGTCTAAACCAGGTCTAAGCCATGACTGAACCAGGACTAAACCAGGTCTAACTGAGGACTAAACCAGGCCTAAAACAGGATTTAACCAGGTCTAAACCAGCACTAAACCAGGTCTAAACCAGCACTAAACCAGGACTAAACCAGAACTAAAACCAGGATTTAAACCAGGTCTAAACCAGGACTAAAACCAGGTCTAAAACAGGACTAAACCAGATTTAAACCTGGACTAAACCAGGTCTAAACCAGGACTAAAACAGGAATAAAACCAGGACTAACCCAAGACTAAACCAGGATTTAACCAGGACTAAACCAGAACTAAAACCAGGACTAAACCAGGACTAAACTAGGACTAAACCAGGACTAAACTAGGACTAAACCAGGACTAAAGCAGGACTAAACCAGGATTAAACTAGGACTAAACCAGGACTAAAGCAGGACTAAACCAGGACTAAACTAGGACTAAAACAGGACTAAACTAGGACTAAACCAGGACTAAAGCAGGACTAAACCAGGACTAAACCAGGACTAAAGCAGGACTAAACCAGGACTAAACTAGGACTAAACCAGGACTAAAGCAGGACTAAACCAGGACATTTGGTTCTTTTTAGTTTTCAGTTAGCTGTAGCAGTCAAACATGTCAACAAGGTAAATACATCTCCTCTACATCCCCTCCTATATTGACTTTTTAAAGATCCCAAGGCATTGATGTACACAAGAAGACAAAATCAACATGTTTGGATAACAGGTGAGCTGACTTTGTTACCTGTTAGCCAATAGTTTTTCACTTCGTCACTCTTTTTGTTGAAAATCAAACACCTAAACAGGACCATGACCATCTGTACTGATCACATGCTCCTGAAAATGTCTATGTGTAAATATATAAATCCGTTTAGGGTTTTTTTTTTTTTTTCTTGCACAACTCACCCTTATAGAACAGATAATACTCCCTACAACTGTACAACAACTCACCCTTATGTAGATAACCCTATGTAATGTCATATCATTTTTTGCATTTTATTTATATTTTTTCCTCTTTGTTATTATAATATAATATTGTGATGTGTGAGATACTGTGCCTAAATAATTTCCCTTGTGAATCAGTAAAGTTTTTCTAAGTCTAAGTTTCCTCTCTCCAAGTTGTATTCATATCCAAGCGATACTGACTCTCTTATTTTCACCAATTATTAGTCATCAGCTTGAAAGTGGTTGTTTCAATATTTTAGAAAATGTTTTATCAAAATAAAGTTTGAAATATAGGAATCAAACTTTTTTTAAATATATTTTTTCACTTTTCAAAATAGTTTTTTTTTTAAATTCTGACTTGAGGAGGTTTCTCAAATGTGTACGTGGACTATATGCATACACATACGCACACACACACGCACACACGCAAACACACACACGCACACAGGTAAACATGTACATGAAACTGCTCACTCCACTTTTAATCAAATAGGACACACAGCTCCGCCCCACCAGGTGCCACAGGTTTAAATACAGCAGAGGTAGAGCCAGAAGAGAGACAAGAACAGAGAGAGAGAGAAGAATGTCGTCCCTGAAGCCAGCTCTGCTCCTGCTCGTCTTCATGTTCCTGGGTTCCTCACAGGGCCGGAAGAATTGTTTAAAGTCTGAAACTCAGCTGACGATCTTGAGTGGGTCTTATGAGAAACGAGGGAACGAAGAAACACCTGAAGTCAAGATTGTGGTAACATCTACCTCCTCTCCTCGGTCCTTTATTTGCTCCTCTATTCTCTCCTCCCCTCTCATATCCTCCACTCCTCTCCCCTATCCTCTGCTCATCTCTCCACTCTCCTCCACCTTGACTTTTCCTGTGTCCAGGTGAAGCGTGTTAAATGTCAGAAGTGTGAGACCACGACCGTGCGCAGCTGGTCTCCTGTGTGGAACCAGACTCTGAACATTCCACGGGGCACAAGGAGGTTCATGCTCTTCGCCAAAATCAACAATAAACCCCGTTACTTGTGCTGGGTGAGAAACCAAGAGAAGAACGGAACCTGCACCCGTTCAAGAAGGAGCAGAAAATTCTCCATCAGCTACTCCATCTCATGTTAGAGATTTCCACTGGTGTCAGAATGATGAAGAATTAGGACCATCACTACAGTGATGAGCAACTTAAAGGGCCCAATTTATACTTTGTCTGATCTATGTTCTAATGTTGCTTCCTCATCACAAACAAATTCACAGTTGTGTTTTCTTTCATTCACACATGTTTAACACACAAACCTGCATATTTAAGCTGAGTTCTCCTCCCAAGTTCTCCACAGTGTCTTTAAACTTCTAAACATCTTCACTAGAGTTATTTTGATGATTTCTACCCTGGAATTTCCAATATACTGAAAAGTTAAAAGGAGTTGTGAACTTGAAAACTACCACTTCATGACATCACAAGGTATTCTGTATTCATGATCTCCATGATCTGTGGAAGCACAGCTACTCTTCGTGGAGTCATGTATATACTGTATATGGACCCGGTTACATCAAGTGCAAAAGGTGGAACAGAGCATTTTGATCTTTGCAGGTCTAGACAGACTTATAATGCAGGATTAGATGTGTCTAAATCAAAACAAAACACAACTCGAGGTATTTTTTTGTGAGGAGGTAACAGCATTATATACATGTATATAACATATAATAAAGACATGTAACAGGAAGCTGAAAAGCCTGGGCAAAATAAAAGCATAGTATCTTCATCACATCTGAAGTTGCCTTTCTTTTAAAGCTTCACTATGTCACTTTGGCAGTTGTCATTATTTACTCCTGAAGTGGACTTGGTTTGTTCTAGACCTTGTTTAGTTCTGCTCTAGTCCAGCTTTAGTTCAAATACAGCCAAATAAGGTTTTAGCTGGTATGAAAACCAGACATTTTTAGGTGCTTGTAATCAATACGAGTGTCCGTGGTTTTGTTTAGGTGTTTGATTTTCACCAAAAAGTGAGAGTGATTTACTGAAAACTACTGTGACTGTAATTTTATTAGAGAGAGATTTGTTTAAAAGCACAGATCATCTCATCTCTTCCAGTTAAGTCACGTCTTTATGGTCACATTAAAGCTCAGATTAAAGCACATGTTTAAATGGTAAATATTTATCATAGTTTTACATCAGCCAAGTGGCAATTTGTGAAGAAAAGTTGAAAGAAATAAAAGTTGAACATCTTAATACTGATATCAGCAAACATCAGTCATCAGGTGCAGAAGCAAGACACATGTGGTATATCTGTAATGGCTTAAAAAAAAATCATGTCAGACATATAACTAATGTTAAGTATTGATACTTTAGTAGCTGTACTGTAACTTTGCTTTAACACAATCTGACCTTAAAGACTCGACAAAGCTGGAACTACAACAGGTGAACTTCTTGGGTTCTTTTTAAAGATAACACAATAGGAAATGTGAGGCAAGGCAAGTGTATTTGTATAGCACAGTTCATACACAAAGTAATTCAAAGTGCTTTACAGAATAAGAAATACACTAAAATCACAATAAAAAATTATATAAAAAAAAAAAAATTAATCATAAAATAAAAAAAGAGAGAAGACAATAAATTAGAGAGAAGAGTGCAGAATGAAAACATTTTGTTTTGAGCCTGGATTTAAACAGCATCAAAGTAGTGGCCTGTCTCACATGTTCAGGAAGATTGTTCCAGATTTTAGCTGCATGAATCTGAAACACTGACTCCCCATGTTTAGTCGTGACTCTGGGCACCAGCAGGAGGCTGGTCCCTGAGCTCCTCAGAGTGTGAGATGGTTCATATGGCACTAACATGTCATATGAACCATCTATTTACCTTGTTTTTTGTATTTACCTTGTTTTGGCTGCTGCAGTCATCCTGCTGTTCTGTTCAAATCTTCTTACTAATCCAACAATGTTCATTTTGTAGATTATTTGTTCTTGGGTTCTTTTGGGGTTCTGGAGATGACTTGCAGCTAGTTGAAACATGTCAACAAGGTAAATACATCTCCTATTGTATTGTCTTTAAAAAACCCGAGAATTTAATGTACAAAAAAAGACAAAATGAATGTTTTTGGATTACAACAAATGAGCTGAAGTTGTACTGTTACATTACAAGTTACCTAGCATTAGTCAACAGTTTTTCAGTTCATCACTCTCACCTTTTTGTTGAAAATCAAACACCTAAACAGGACCATGAACGCTCGTACTGATCACAGGCTCCTGAAAATATGTTGTTTAAATCATTTTTTATTTATTCTTGAGTTTTTTTTTGTAGTTTTAGAGATTATGCAACCACAAATAATTTGCATGTTCTTCTTATGTCTGGGTGGGTTTCTACCGGCTAAATCCTCCAGTTAAGGAGGTCCTGATCTAGATTATAGCACAATATCACATGGGTTCCCAGGAGCTGCACTGTGAGTCTCATACTGGTAGTTGGAAAAAGCCAATATTTAATCTTCTGTTCTAAAGCTCCAAACATTTCTAAACACCGGCAGATCAACTTTTTATTTAAAGGTCATCTGTTACACAATGTTGACTCTTGTGAGCTTTAACCCATGTCATAATGTTACATAACTCCTCAAAGCTGGAGCTGGAGCTGTGTTTGTATGTTTACACATGTTTGAGTAATATTTTATTATAGGTCTGTCTACATCTCCAAAGATTTGCTGTGTGTCTTTTGTTTTGTAAATGTTCTAAATGCCCCCCCGTAAATGGCTTTTAAGGCAAACTGTATTCCAAGTTGTCCTTTGTTCAGTGAAATATGATCTAAGAATGTTATCCCACCATGTTAACCAAACTGTTTTCATCTAATCTCCACTCTCATGTTGTACGGTTTGGGCGTTATGGTGATGCCAAACACTGGAGTAAAGTCAGGCTCTCCTGCATCCTCAGGCCAAATGAACGTAAACTTCCTCAGAAGAGTCACCATGATGAGGAAGAGCTCCATATGGGCAAGGCCTTCTCCCAAACACACTCGAGGACCTGGACAAAAACCTAGAACATTACCTGAGATACATACTTATACTCACAATTGTACATGTTTTAGTATTGATTGAACTTCTGTACCTGCAGAGAAGGGCAGGAAGGCATCTGGTTTGTCAAACTCCCCCTTGTGGTTGAGAAAGTTTTCAGGGTTAAATTCATGAGGAAACGTCCACTGTCCCTCCTCACTGAGCGCTGATGACAGGTTGGGGATGACAATAGTGCCCTAGAACCAAAGTGGAGTGACTTTATGACTTTATTTGTCTCATTTAGATTATGTGCAGTTGGATATCTGCTTACTTTAGGAATAGAGTAGCCCATAAGCTCTGTGTCTCTGGTGGTTGTATGAAAAACACTGAGAGGAACAGTGTCGGCAGTCCTCTGAGTTTCGTGAATAACAGCCTAAAAAAGCAGATGATAGCAGTATCTACACAGTATGTGTTTTCAGTATAGTTGCTAAATGTTTTACTTGGACATAAGGCATGTTGTGTCTGTCTTCAAATGTGACAAAGTTCTTTCCCTCCAGGACACGGTCTATCTCCTGTTGACAGCGTTCTGCAGGGGGAAAACAGAAACTTTTACTTTGGTGAAGAGGCTGAAGTACCCAAATGGTCCTAGCAGCTACATACAGAAGGCTTCATGGCTCTAAAATCTTGCAAGACAAACCGGTCTTAAAGGTCCACTATTTCTGGAGGTCTGCATTTTTCTTGTCTCCATGAAGCAGTTATGTTTTTTCTCTATAATGTTCCCCATTATGGCTAGCGGTGTTTGTCAGATTACTTTGCAAAAGTAATCGAATTACTGACTACTGATTACTCCTTCTAACAGTAATCTAATTACTACTCTGATTGCTTTATTTCAAAAATAATTAGAATACTGATTACTTCAAGTTACTTTCAGTTACTCAAGCAGAGGCGACGTGCACAGTACTCCTTAAACCAATATTTGTGTTATTTTGGTTTACAGGCAAAAAGTAACTAAAAGCCCAAGTAGCCCAAGTAACTGTAATCTACTTGCTCAGTTTTCAATTGTAACTATAGATAACCGCGTTACTAAAAAAGGAATCTAATCTGTATTTTAAAACTAGTTACTCCCCAACATTGATGTGCCACAAGGTCATATTGATGGTGTACATCTCCCTGGAGACAAACAAGTAGCAGACCCTTCATCAGGAAAAGTAACAGAGTGCACAGTGACAGGACCAATTCATTAATAACATCTTGTTGAAAATCATTTTCTTGTTTTGTCACTAATTTGTGCAACAGGATAATGCTCTCCAACAGGAGGACGCACAACCACTTACCTCACATTTAAACATGTAAACAATGCAGGTGGTTTACCCTGAATATGTGGCCTGGTCATGAGGTAGAGGAAGCCAAAGAGCAATGTGTTGGATGTAGTATCTGTCCCAGCCATGTACAGGAGCATGCAGTACATCAGGAGTTCCTCAGAGGAAAACGAAGAACCTTCATTGCCTCTCTGTCGAAAGAGATCATTAAATATGAGCTCAGCATTACAGTTTTGGGGTAAATAATTTGGGGGTGTAAATTTAAAAAAGTAAACTGGTCACATACTTTCTCCAGTTCATCCAGGTAGCTGTCCACCAAGTCCCGAGGTTCTCCTGGTACTCTGTTTTTTTTGTGTTCCTCTATCACTGGGATAATCATGTTTTTTACTCTCTAAGATACACAAAGAAGAACACATATTATGCATTATTTGTATTGTTTTGTGTGTGTGTGTGTGTGTGTGTGTGTATATATATATGTGTGTGTGTGTGTATATATATATATATATATATATATATATATATATATATATATATATATATATATATATATATATATATATATATATATATATATATATATATATATATATATCCATCCATCCATTTTCTTCCGCTTATCCAAGGTCGGGTCGCGGGGGCAACAGTCTGAGAAGGGTCTCCCAGACTTCCCTCTCCACACACACTTCCTCCAGCTCTTCCAGGGGGATCCCAAGATGTTCCCAGGCCAGCCGAGAGACATAGTACGTCCAGCGTGTCCTGGGTCTTCCCTGGGGCCTCCTCCCAGTGGGACATGCCCAGAACACCTCCCGAGGGAGGCGTCCAGGAGGCATCCGAAACAGATGCCCGAGCCACCTCAACTGGCTCCTCTCGACGTGGAGGAGCAGCGGCTCTACTCCGAGCTCCTCCCGTGTGACTGAGCTCCTCACCCTATCTCTAAGGGAGCACCCAGCCACCCTGCGGAGGAAACTCATTTCGACCACTTGTATCCGCGATCTCGTCCTTTCAATCATTACCCAGAGCTCATGACCATCGGTGAGGGTAGGAACGTAGATTGACCGGTAAATCAAGAGCTTCGCCTTTTGACTCAGCTCTCTCTTCACCACAACGGTCCGACACAGTGACCGCATCACTGCCTACTCTGCACGTATATATATATATATATATATATATATATATATATATATATATATATATATATACATATTAGGGGTGTCAAATTATCGCGTGAATTGCGATTAATTAATTACAGTCATATTTAGCGTGTTATGTTTTTTAATCGTGTTAATCTCATTTTTAATCTCTAACTTTACTGTTTCTGTATGTGAGTTGCTTTATTATAAAATCTGTTTTTATGTGTTGTTGGGACAACAACACACACAAAAAACACATTTATAATTTTTTTTATTTCGGTAATTCCACTCATTGCCGGAAACCCACACAAAACGCGCGCAGTAATGTAAACGTCATGTTCACGTTGGCAGCGTCAGTCACACAATGGACGAGGTCGTAGAGCCAGTAGAACAGAGGCAGCAGTGCACAGGGAAAAACACATTTGTGTCTTGGAAATTATTCTCCCAACGTGAAATATAAAAGAAAATAACAAATATAAAATCGCCTACAACTTAAATGTCACTGGTGAAAACAACCTGCATAGACTCATGATGTCTGCACTACTGTCCTATACACAAACACACACAAACACACACAAACACACACACACCTTCATTATCGTCATTAACCTGAGAACGCGCGGACCACGTTTCCTTCCGTAGTTACTGTGCGGACACCGACGAGCTCCCGTGAGCCGCGTGTGGATCGTGTTTTCTCGCGTACGCTGCGTAAACCGCGCTTCCTCCTGTGCGCCTCTAAACCAGAACTAACACCAAGACTAAAACCAGGACTAAACCAGGTCTAAACCAGGACTAAACCAGAACTAACACCAGGACTAAAACCAGGATTAATCCATTCCAGGACTAAACCAGGACTAAAGTAGGACTAAAGCAGGTCTAAACCAGGACTAAAACAAGGACTAAATCCAGTGATCTCATATATAAAGCATTTTTCTATCAATAATATTTTTAATATGGTTAAAGAAAGACTGGACTTTTTATTGTCTTTAAGTAGACAAAAGTTATTATGTTCAGATTTCCTCGTCTTTGCTGCTTTACAGCAAACAGTTTCTTATTCATGGAGACTTGGGCTCAACAGACAATTTGGACAGATTTGTTAAACAATAAATGACTTTATAAAGTCACTTTTTTTTTTAATCTATATCAGTCTTTTGATCTGCCACAATAATGTAATAATGAATTGAAAAGAAAATATCTCAAATTGAAGGCTTTTCTCAGCAGTTTTTAGGTGAGATTAAAATTAGATTAATTAATTAAGCACTCATATATATATATATATATATATATATATATATATATATATATATATATATATATATACACATGAGATAACGTGGTTAAAACCTCAAAAATATAGTCCTTGGCAATAGTTATTTGTATATTTTTTTTGTGTAATCATTGATACTTAAGTGTGAAGAACAAACCTGCATTGCCTCAAATGCTTTAGTAAAAGGCAGTGGCAAACATCGAACCCAATGGAAACTGTCATGAAGCTAATGGGGGAAAAAAATGTTAACATGGTTTACATTCAGTCATTTACAACATAACAGTTGGAAACTTTAGTCACTCACCAAAGCCCAGGGTCCGTTGATCGTTTTGTTAATCTCACAGAGAGAGGTCACAATTGTTCTAATAAACTCCTCATCATGTTCATATCGCTTATTGAACAGAACTTGACAGATCACGTTTGAGGCGACTGAATGAAACATGATTTGAGGGCTCAGAATTTTTCCTAAAAAACAAAAATGCAAGTTTGGGTGTCATGTAATGGATACACCATTCAATATACCTGAAAAAGTGACTTGTGTTTTATAGAACAAATAATCTACTACTAGCCCCCCTAGAATGGCCAATGCTCCCCCATAGCTCCCCCAAAGAGTTCTGCCCCACTTTCATAGGACATCCAATCTCAACATCAATCTCTGTTTTTAGGAGACTTTACTTTTTAGGGGCTCCATACTATCACAACTACTGAAATACAAACTGAAAACTATATAAGAACATGTCTGTATATAGCAAGCCATTTTAATATGTAAATGCTAAACTGCATATGTATTGCAGTTATCTCTGACTCAGTTTTGCCTAGTCAAAAAAATAAATAAAAAATCCAGATGTCCGCAACGATATTCTTCTAATGCTTGACTGTCATTTTAGATATTCACAGCGACATTCTTCCCAGGGCAAATGACATCACCTTTGCCATTTATTCGTATGGGTTTCATGTTACAGATATCCACAACGTAAGTTACAGATACTTAATCTGCAACTGAATTATACATATCTGTAATTCTGGTTTGAGATATCCACAGTTTGATTCTGATTAGTCATAACTCAAGTTCAAGACACTTCAGGCGGGAGTGGAGCATTTCCACATGGCACCTGTAGGCTGTTAACAGAAAGTTAATTTATCAGTAAGATGTCTTCTTTAAATATTTCTTGCAGTTTTCAGTGGAACAATGTTGTCACTCTCCACAAACCCCTTGTGTGAGGACTCGTTCTATTTCATGATTTACAGGTGAAGTGACATAATTAACAATATCTGAACTAGAGCAACGTCATGCACAATAATTTGTACTAGTCATAATGATGTTTGAAATATCTTTAACTTTCAATCTGCCTCGTCAAAACTGAATAACAGATGTCTACAATTGTCATTTATGATGTGTGACAAGTTAAATGTCTTTTTCAATGACGTAATTGCAGATATCTGTTATTCTGTTTTGCCTCGTCAAAACTGAATTGCAGATATCTCTAACTGTCATTTCGTTTAGTAAAATTACATTACTAATATCTCAAATGATAATTCCGACTATCCAAAATGAAATTATGCCTAGTCGGAAAGACTAAGACATCACAAGTGTGTTGTTGATATCTACAATGTTAATTCCGAATAGTAAACTTAGCCTTTAAATGTTAAAACGGTTTGCCATAGTTTGTACAGATCTAAACTACAGGACTAGCTGTTTTTATGCAGAATAAGATGAGATTTTTGTTTATGTTCATGTTTATGTTATGTTCAAATTACAATTTAGATTTTGATTGTAATTGTGATTCGTTTTGCAGCCCTCACTCCAACACTGTAGAGTAGGACTGAGCTGGTGTATAGACTTCAGACTCTGAAGGTAGACTCTGAGATAGAGAGCATATTCTGTTTTCTTTACACTTATGACTCACCAGTATTCTTCTCCAGATAGTCAATGGTGTACTGTAGTTCTCCCAGAATCCTCTGCTCCATCGACTGTTTGCCCAAACCAAAGTTCCTCAGGGTCGTCAAAGTAAAGCGACGATGCTCCTTCCAGGCCAGACCATAGTCAGCCAGAAATGCACCTACAGCAGACCATCGTATTATTATGCTTTTGACTAAATCTCACAGAATAGAAATAGAAACCATGTTAGTTATTGACTGAAATGTAAAGATTCTCAGTTCTTAGCTTAGCATTACCTCTCCTCTCCGTGACAGCGTTCAAGAACAGGTCCTGAGGTCGTCCGGCAAAGTCCACAGCCTTGTTCACCAGAGCCTCCTTCAGAGCCTGGGTGCCACTCAGCACCACAGCAGCTTTGCGTCCCATGTACAGGCTGTAGATGTTCCCATAAGTCCTCCTCAACTGGAAACAATACCAAACCCAAGAAACAAACATTAGCAATTCTGCTCTCTCCCTTGTCAGATAGAAAATTATTTCAGATAGTTATGAAATTTCTGTTTTCATCCTCATCAACAAATGTTTCTAAACCCTGATAGAAAACATTTTAGGTGACATATCAATAAAGAGTGTGAAGAGACATTCAGCAAAACTGACTGAGACACAATCTCACTTTAAAGGTGCTGTAGATTTGTTGATTTTTACTGCCTTAAAAATGTGAAAAACAGAATTAGTTCATTTTAAAGTTTTGCAGTGGTCCAAAGTAGCTCACTTTCATTATGCATTTCTTGCATCCCAATTTGTCGTCACATAATGCTAATTCCCAACTCCACACCACTTCCAGTTGGTAATGATAAAAATGCTTTATAATTTTGTGAACTGCAGCAAGTGGAAGGTGGAAGGGTGCATTTGAGATTACATGGTCTGGACAAACAGAACTAAACAAACAGCTAAAACAAATATGGACTGCACATTCAACTAGCTACTGTTACATCATATAAGCTGAAATCATGGTTCTCAAAAATATATAAGACATTGTGTTACAGAAATATAAATATGGAATTTGCTCATATGCCTGGCAGAGAAACAAATCTGAAATGCCAAAGAAAACAGGGAACTTTTGGAGTCCTTGCATGGTTTGCTCATTAAAGTTGCACTATGTAACTTCTCTCATGAAGAGCTCGCTACATGTTCATCTCCACGGTAAATGCATTATTATCATTATTATGATTCTGATTAAGTGGAAATTAAAACAACCCTCATACCTTCTCTATGTCATTCAAAGGGTTACTTGAGCACAGTTTGTGCATGTTTCCCAAAAATGGCAGTGCGATGGGTCCAGGAGGGAAGTCCTTGGGTCGTCGAGACTTGAGATGCACGATGATGAAGACCATGATGATGCCCAACAGCAGCAGATAGGCAGCCATCATGACAGGAGGTACAGAGGATATGGAACAGATGGGAGTCGACTAGTGAAGTCACGTCTATGCAAAGAGAGACTGGCAAAATTCTAAACAGTTTGTAAAGCTCCGCCCCCTGTGATAGTCTACTATTTGTGGTATAAAGGGAAATGCTAATGTCAATGTTTCAAAGCAAGTATGTAGCTTTGTGGGAGTCTGGCACCAAATGATGTGTGGGAGGGGGCTGAGGGGCTGGGGACACTAACTGCTAAACTACCACAGAGTGTTTCAAAAGGCCTTTCAAAACAATATGTCTCAGTGCTAATAATAGACTGGATTTATAAATGGACATAGCTAACCCCTCCCCTCCTTGAACCGTCACCTTATCGTGGTGGAGGGGTTTGAGTGCCCGAATGATCCTGGGAGCTATGTTGTCGGGGGCTTCATGCCCCTGGTAGGGTCACCCAAGGCAAACAGGTCCTGGGGGATGGGTCAGACGAAGAACGGTTCAGAAGCCCCACATGATGAATTCTAATCAGAGGCCAGTTACATCAGCGTCACCGAGGCCCCATCCTGGAGCCAGGCCTGGGGTGGGTGCTCGAAGGCGAGCGTCTGGTGGCCGGGCCTTCCCCCATGGGGCCCGGCTGGGCACAGCCTGAACAAGCGACGTGGGGCCGCCCTTCCGTGGGCCCACCACCTGCGAGAGGAGCCATATGGGGCCGGTGCAGAGAGATCTGGGCAGCAGTCGAAGGCGGGGGCCTCGACGACCGGATCTCCGGACATGGAGACTAGCTCTGGGGACATGGAATGTCACCTCGCTGGGGGGGAAGGAGCCTGAGTTTGTGCGGGAGGTTGAGCGTTACCGACTAGATATAGTCGGCCTCACCTCCACACACAGTTTGGGCTCTGGAACCCAACTCCTTGAGAGGGGCTGGACTCTCCATTTCTCTGGCGTTGGCCGTGGGGAGCGGCGGCGGGCTGGTGTGGGCTCATTGAACCACAGCTCAGCCGCTGTGTGTTGGAGTTCACCCCGATGAACGAGAGGGTCGCGTCCCTGCACCTTCGGGGCGGGGACAGGTCTCTCACTGTGGTGTGTGAACAGCAGTGCTGAGTACCCGGCCTTCTTGGAGTCCCTGGGAGGAGTACTAGACAGTGCACCGACCGGGGACATCATTGTTCTCCTGGGGGACTTCAACGCCCACGTGGGCAACGACAGTGACACTTGGAGAGGGGTGATTGGGAGGAACGGCCTCCCCGATCTGAAACCGAGCGGTGTTTTGTTATTGGACTTCTGTGCTAGTCACAGTTTGTCCATAACGAACACCATGTTCGAGCACAAGGGTGTCCATAAGTACACGTGGCACCAGGACACCCCAGGCCGGAGGTCGATGATCGACTTTGTCGTCGTGTCATCTGACCTCCGGCCGCGTGTCTTGGACACTCGGGTGAAGAGAGGGGCTGAGCTGTCAACTGATCACCACCTGGTTGTGAGTTGGGTTCGCTGGCGGAGGAGGAAGCCGGAAAGACCTGGCAGACCCAAGCGTGTAGTGAGGGTCTGTTGGGAACGTCTGGCGGAGCCTCTGTCAGAGGGACTTTCAACTCGCACCTCCGGGAGGACTTCTCCCGGATTCCGGGGGAGGCTGGAGATATGGAGTCCGAGTGGGCTTCATTCTCGGCCTCTATTGTCGATGCGGCTGCTCGTAGCTGTGGGCGTAAGGTCTGTGGTGCCTGTCGCGGTGGCAATCCCCAAACCCGGTGGTGGACACCGGAAGTAAGGGATGCCGTCAAGCTGAAGAAGGAGTCCTATCGGGTCTTGTTGGCTTGTGGGACTCCTGAGGCAGCTGATGGGTACCGGCGAGCCAAGCGTGCTGCAGCTCATGTGGTTGCGGAGGCAAAAACTTGGAGCTGGGAGGAGTTTCGGGGAGGCCATGGAGAAGGACTATCGGACGGCCTCAAAGAGATTCTGGCAAACCGTCCGGCGCCTCAGGAGGGGGAAGCAGTCCTTCACCAACACTGTTTACAATGCGGGGGGAGAGCTGCTGACCTCGACTGGGGACGTTGTCCGGCGGTGGAAGGAATACTTTGAGGATCTCCTCAATCCCACCGTCACGTCTTCCGAGGAGGAAGCTGAGGCTGGGTACTCGGAGGCGGACTCGTCCATCACCCTGGCTGAAGTCACTGAGGTGGTTGGAAAGCTCCTTGGTGGCAAGGCTCCAGGGGTGGACGAGATCCGTCCTGAGTACCTGAAGTCTCTGGATGTTGTGGGGCTGTCTTGGCTGACACGCCTCTTCAACATCGCGTGGCTGTTGGGGACAGTACCTCTGGACTGGCAAACCGGGGTGGTGGTCCCTCTGTATAAGAAGGGGGACCGGAGGGTGTGTTCCAACTATAGGGCGATCACACTCCTCAGCCTTCCCGGTAAGGTCTATGCCAGGGTACTGGAGAGGAGAATCTGGCCGATAGTCGAACCTCAGATCCAGGAAGAGCAGTGTGGTTTTCGTCCTGGCCGTGGAACACTGGACCAGCTCTACACTCTCCATCGGGTGCTCGAGGGTTCATGGGAGTTTGCCCAACCAGTCCACATGTGCTTTGTGGATCTGGAGAAGGCATTTGACCGTGTCCCTCGTGGTGTCCTGTGGGGGGCGCTCTGGGAGTATGGGGTTCGGGGCCCTTTGCTAAGGGCTGTCCGGTCCCTGTATGACCGGAGCAGGAGCTGTGTTTGCATTGCCGGCAGTAAGTCAGACCTGTTCCCGGTGCATGTTGGACTCCGCCAGGGCTGCCCTTTGTCACCGGTTCTGTTCATTGTGTTTATGGACAGAATTTCTAGGCGCAGTCAGGGGCCGGTTTGGGGACCACAGGATCTCATCTCTGTTGTTCGCAGATGATGTTGTCTTGGCTCCATCGAACCAGGACCTGCAATGTGCACTGGGGCGGTTTGCAGCCGAGTGTGAAGCGGCTGGGATGAAGATCAGCTCTTCTAAGTCTGAGGCCATGGTTCTCGACCGGAAAAAGGTGGCTTGCCCTCTCCGGTGGAGAGTCTTTGCCTCAAGTGGAGGAGTTCAAGAATATCGGGGTCTTGTTCACGAGTGAGGGGAGGACGGAACGTGAGATTGACAGGCGGATCGGTGCAGCTTCGGCAGTGATGCGGTCGCTGTATCGGACCGTTGTGGTGAAGAGGGAGCTGAGTTCAATTTACTGGTCAGGCTTCGTTCCTACTCTCACCTATGGTCATGAGCTCTGGGTAGTGACCGAAAGGACAAGATTGAGGATACAAGTGCTCGAAATGAGTTTCCACTGCAGGGTGGCTGGGCACTCCCTTAGAGATAGGGTGAGGAGCTCAGTCACACGGGAGGAGCTTGGAGTAGAGCCGCTGCTCCTCCACATTGAGAAGAGCCAGCTGAGGTGGCTCGGGCATCTGTTACGGATGCCTCCTGGACGCCTCCCTCGGGAGGTGTTCCGGGCATGTCCCGCCGGGAGGAGGCCCCAGGGAAGACCCAGGACACGCTGGAGGGACTATGTCTCTCGGCTGGCCTGGGAACGCCTCGGGGTTCCCCCGGAGGAGCTGGAGGACGCGTCTGGGGTGAAGGAAGTCTGGGAGTCCCTGCTTAGGCTGCTGCCCCCGCGACCCGGCCCCGGATAAGTGGAAGAAAATGGATGGATGGATGGCATAGCTAACCCGCAAGCCGCTATATTCCAAATAGGAAGTGAGCATGGGGACACTTCTGGTTCCACTGACTCCAGCTCCAATTGACTTTACACTGAAAAATTGTCACCTCTCTCTGTAACTGCTGCAGTGAAACTCGTCCTTCTTAAAATGTTTGTATTAACCCACTCTACATGATCTTGGTGTTTTTATTTTGTTATTTTGTCCATGAAAAAAAAAAATAATAATAATAATAAATCCTAATATGGAACTTGCTCCAAATTCACTCCTATAACTGTTAAGCTGGTGAGCTTCCTTTGACTAGAACCCAACCCTGTGGGTGGCATCATGCTCCCTTTTAACTGATACAGTTGAAAAAGTGACTTTTATAGTCTCATGTCGCTTGAGATTTTTACAGTCCATACACTCCTACTCACGAGACACATGTGTGCGTGGACACTGCACTCATCACAAAGACATACACCATATCAAAGCCTATGGCCATTATTTCATTCACATGATGTTGCACATGTGGCTGTTGTGAGGGGCAGTGCAGCTTTTATGCACAGACAGGTTCGGACAGTGGGTTCTGTCTCTTCACTCCTTCATCACGTCTGTCTCTCTTCATCCCCTTGTCTCTTGCTCCCTATCAAACTGCAGACACCTTGGTGCAGAGTTTATCGTATCTTGTTAAGTTACATGTGAAGAGGTTCATCACAACTTTACTTTTATGCACAGAAAAACTTCAGCTAATCAAACTCTGTGGGTTCTCGTTGTGGCTCCCCTCTCATTTAGTCAGATCATAAAAAACATCAAATTTTTGGCCCATTTGCCTTGATGTGATGTCGTTGCTGCATTGAGTCACAGTGAGGGCACACAAAGCGCAGGTTAAACTTCAGGCCTGAGTTAGCTTTGGTCAGACTCAGGCGTATTTCTGTGCTCATTTCATATTTCAAACACTTTTATAACTTTGTTTGTTTGACATTATTGCACATCATATCAGATCATTATAGATGATCTAACTGATCATCAACAATTTTGGCCAGGCATGTGAGGTCCTCTAAAGGACACAGCACAATCAAGCTTTTACTAACAGTGGTGAATTATCCAATGTGGGTGGAACATCAAGACATGGAAGCAAAGTTTGTGTTGTAGTCTTTAAAAAACACCTTCATGCAACCTTCTGCAGACTTCATTGTTCAGTGCATAGTGCATGTATGAAACACATGCTAAAGGACAGAATTGCGCTTTTAAAACCAGTGCTAACTTGTCCAATGTTAAGAGTGGTTTTCACGAGTTAACCTGCCTGCTTGAGCCATCGTAACATGTGACTGTAACTTGGATGACAGATTGAGGTAATAAGACTAAAGTCAGTTGAGCTGAAGTAAT